TACGTACGTACGTACGTACGTACGTACGTACATACACACATCATCAAAAAAATTGGCTAGCATGCTACTAATATGTTAAAACGTGGAAATATAATGAAAATTCCGATTTCACTTTTCGACCCAATTACAATAACTTCCTAATGGGAAGTTAATAATAAATAAACAATTTTTAGTTGAACATTTGTAATTCCCAACAGCATAGACTTTGTCACCGAATAAATCATACAAACTGAAGGAATCCTTGCACAAATTTAGAGATAAATGAAGTTAGAAACACATTAGAAACAGAAACAAGAGTTAAGATGGGTAGAGGTAGACCTAGATTAGATTAGTGTTCACACGTAGTTATGGATGTGGAATGTTGTGGTTTTAGGGAAATGCGAAGATTAGCTCAGGAAAGGAAAGGGTGGACGTGCATGTCCAACCAGTTTTAGGACTGACGACCTTATGACATGACGAAAAGTCAAAATTCGGAGAAGGAAGTATCTATTCATGAATCTCAAAGCCCTATAAAAATTTTAAACGGTAGGCGCTGCAGAAAAGAAAATGTTAGAAGCGTTCGAAATGTGGTGTTACAGGCAAATGATGAGGATACCGTGGATAGAAAGGTTAGAAATGAAGAGGTATTAGAAATAATATGAGAAAAGAGGACTCTATGGAAGTCAATAACAAATAGGCGAGATATGTTGCTAGGATACCTTCTCAGACATGAAGGTCTAATCAGAGACAGAAACAGGAGAGGTAGAGGTAGACCTAGATTAGATTACTGTTCACAAGTAGTTATGGATGTGGAATGTTGTGGTTTTAGGAAAAAGCGAAGATTAGGTCATGATAGGAAAGGGTGGACGTGCATGTCCAACCAGTTTTAGAACTGACAACCTTATGACAAGACGATAAGTCAAAAGAGGTATTAGAAATAATATGAGAACAGAGGACTCTGTGGAAGTCAATAAGAAATAGGAGAGATAGATTGCTAGGACACCTTCTCAGGCATGAAGGTCTAGTCAGAGACAGAAACAGGAGAGGTAGAGGTAGACCTAGATTAGATTAGTGTTCACAAATAGTTAAGGATGTGGAATGTTGTAGTTTTAGGGCAATGCGAAGATTAGCTCAAGATAGGAAAGGGTGGAGATACGTATCCAACCATTCTTAGGACTGACGACCTTACGATGATGATTGAGTACATCCGTTAGGACTTAGATTTGGGCTTCTGCTATCAACCAACGAGGTAAGTAATTCCGTTAGCAAAAATAGGGGTCAAAAAGATTCTTAGTCACTGATTTACTAACTTTTAGTCATGCGGGTAGTGCCACGTTGGATATTTTCGATATTTTTTAATTTTCTGCAGGAACCCACAAATCGACACATTTACATTTCATTAAATACCACCACCATATAAATTCGAAAAGCGCAAAATTATTGTCGAGTTTCACGAAGATGCATGTAGGTAGGTATATTCCTGTATCACACCTTTTGGTCACGCAAACTTAATCATTTGACCAGTCGGCTTCGGATTGCAACTTTGTCCAGTTTTTTGTCCCTTAAGCACACTGCTTAATTAACCATGCACCCTATATTGCACCTAGTTAACACCCTCCAAAGTCTGCTACTTATTTCAGAAACACCCTGTATAGATTACAAAACTGCTAAGTCTTATCAGTAATTATCATTAACGGGGTAAAACTAAATTCGAATTAAAATAAAATCATCCACTGAGAAACCTCGAATTTTCGACAACATCAGAGAATACGTAAGAGAAGAAGCCATGAAATTGACGATAATAATTTGAGGCTTCACAACATATACCTATACTTTGACTATATCCCTAGTTTGTCTAATTTTAATTTCTATATTATAGACTAATGCAATCGGCGTAGGTTAAGTTAGTTTTGATTTTCTCGTAGGTATATTTAAATCTCGACTTGTCCTCCATTATTTACTAATTACACGACCACTCAATCATTAGGTAAAAGTAACTTTGCTTTCAAAAATAACGGCGAGTTGTAGGGCCATTATCACGTGATAATGTGATTTGTCCTGAAAGTTCCAAGTCGAGTGACATTTTCCCGAATCGCAATAATTATCCCTTTCACACGGCATCTGTGGCTCGGGACAATAATTAATTGTCCAAAGCGTTGACCGTTGTGTACATCTAATGTCTGCCGTTGTACTGTATGTATTTCGCACGTGTTTGAATAGGTACAGTCGAATAATTCATTCCGCGTTAATGCCAACGGCACAATTATTGTTAACGTTTATTAAAACTTGCACATACACAACAAATGCATTTTGCCGGCAAAACTTCACGCCAATGTGAGATGTGTTTTCGTCACAACGATAAATTAAATTTGCTTTCGTTCCGATTTCATCAATTCATTAAATAATAACTGTTGAGACTTTTTTAATCGAGTTTAACAATGGCGAAATTCGATCAATAAAGAGGTTTCCATTGTTTTCTTTCATATATTAGCTATAAAATTTAAATAAAACGTAACTGGAATGTGAATGAATAAATAAAATACCTGTACAAATGAAAAAGTTATGGAACACAGTAACTGAGTTGCTAAGGAAGTTGGTAACTTCCTTGGTAAGCAACTTAGTGGCTTCCTTGTTAAGCAAGTTAGCATCTTCTTCAATGAACAAGTTATCAGCTTTCTTGTTAATCAACGTAGTAACTTGCTTGGTAAGCTAGTTATAAGTTGCTTCTTATGCAAGTTAGTATCATCCTTCATAAACATGTTAACAACTTAGTAGCTTCCTTGTTAAGCAAGTTAGCATCTTCTTTGTTGAACAAGTTATCAGCTTTCTTGTTAATCAACGTAGTAACTTGCTTGGTAAGCTAGTTAAAGGTTGCTTCTTATGCAAGTTAGTATCATCCTTCATAAACATGTTAACAACTTAGTAGCTTCCTTGTTAAGCAAGTTAGCATCTTATTTGTTGACAAAGTTATCAGCTTGCTTGTTAATCAACGTAGTAAATTGCTTGGTAAGCTTGTTATAAGTTACTTCGTATGCAACTTAGTACCATCCTTCATAAACTGGTTAGCAACTTAGTGGCTTCCTTGTTAAGCAAGTTAGCATCTTATTTGTTGAGCAAATTAGCAGGTTGCTTGTTAATCAACGTAGTAACTTTCTTGGTAAGATTGTTATAAGTTGCTTCTTATGCAAGTTAGTACCATCCTTCATAAACAAGTTAGCAACTTAGTAGCTTCCTTGTTAAGCAAGTTAGCATCTTATTTGTTGAACAAGCTATCAGCTTGCTTGTTAATCAACGTAGTAACTTGCTTGGTAAGCTTGTTATAAGTTGCTTCGTATGCAACTTAGTACCATCCTTCATACACAAGTTAGCAACTTAGTGGCTTCCTTGTTAAGCAAGTTAGCATCTTCTTTGTTGAACAAGTTATCAGCTTTCTTGTTAATCAACATAGTAACTTGCTTGGTAAGCTAGTTATAAGTTGCTCCTTATGCAAGTTAGTATTATCCTTCATAAGCAAGTTAGTAACTTGCTTGTAAAACAAATGGTTAGTCAGTAACTTGCGTGTTTAGGAAGTCAACATGTTACTTGCTGAGTAAGTTAGTAGCTTGCTTGTTAAGCAAGTCACTAATTTGCTCGGTAAGCAACTTAGTGATTTGCTTGGTATGCTCGTTGGTAACTATCTTGTTATACATATCAATAACTTCGTTGTTAAGAAAGTTAAACAAGCTAGTAACTTACTTTTAGGCAAGTTGGTGACTTGAATGGAAAGGAAGTTAATGACATGCTTGCTAAGCAACTCAGCAATTGACTTGTTAAGTAAGTGTGAGACATCTTGCATGCTAAGCAAATTAGTAACTTCCTTATTAAGCAAGTAAGCATCTTACTTGCTAAGCATGTTGGAGTTTGCTTATTAAACAAGTTACTAACTTACTTAATAAGTGAGTTACATTGTAACTTGGTTTTTATGCACTGATGTCAGTCACGGCCATATTAAATTCATACAGTAATTGGAAAATGATCGTCTCCAAATATTTTTTTGTAGTTGAATTTTTGATTATCAAACAAAGAAAACATAACAGATTAAAAAACTATATATGTTTGGAAAAACCCATAATATTTTTAGATCTTTTCTAAGCCTATTCTTACTGTTAACTGAGCTGATCTAATAATAAATTATAATATGAAACCATCATCGGCTTATATGTTACAGTTGAAAAGCCAATAACAAAAAGTAAATTATGGCTTGGTTATTTCATTTTAATATCTGATCAATGGTAAATCAAAATAGTTAATACTATAAATGAGAACATAAAAGGTATAATAAGTCCTACCTTTTCACAGAAGAAGTAGATCGTGACACTTGAAATAAATCCAAAAATCTTGCTAAATTCAATAGGTATACATTGGTTTTTTTTCGGTCAATACAAGGATTTCTACATTTTCGGTAGGGGTGTAGGGTCTAATTCAGTTTCTGAAACGAAATAAATAACTGTTGCAAATAACTACGGATACTTTTGGAAAAGAATGGTAAGCCGTTTCAACTAAATGTTACTTCAAGTTTTCATTTTTATGCCCACATGACGTATAGGTAAAAGATATTAGAAGGTACTACAAAGTTCAACTGCAGACCCTTTTATAAACTTAAGTACAATATTTCCTTCCGACGAAGGATTACAAAGGGGTGGATGTTTTGCAAGAAATAACTAAAGAGAAATAGCGCTGTACAATGGGAAATTGTTTTAATCATTGTGAAAAATATAAAATACATTTTCTTTTTTGGCCACTAACAGAAAAATGCTGTATTTACGATTAATACCACACAAAAATAAAAATTTATAATTTGTGTAATAGTTATTAGCATTAGCAGACTAACTAACGCTTTTAAAATTTAAAACTAATCGGGAGAGGCCTGTGAAGTAGTAGCAGTAAAGTAATAGCAAGATGGAAGGGGCTGTTGTGTATCGGATGGGGATGATGTGGTTCATCGATTGAAACAGAAAGAACGGAACAACGTGCAAGTTGCTTGGGAGAGTTGACACAGCAAGGCTTTGTCCATTCCCTAGCCGATATTTTTTTAAATAACCAAACAAATTCATATATGAATGTGTAAATTCATTTTAAAAATGTTAAAAAAAAATCAGTGTCATCAATGCACATCCCAGATAAGAGGATATATGCGAGTAGTAAGTAGGCCCCAACGATAATAGCATTATACAAAGTGTCCCTGGACCAAGCCAGATTTTTGACGTGACAACATCTTATAATTCGCCGGCATGAAAAAACATGACTCATGCGGCGTTACCTCGCTCTGAGGCGTTCCATTTAAGGCTTGAAGTGCAAGCGAGAGCGCGGAACGAGCGACAAAGAGGCACAATCGGTCTCCGCGTTCGGCAGCGTTCAACATCTATCTCTCTCCTACTTGAGTGAGCGATGCGTCCGCGTGGACAGCTGCTATACAATAATACATTTCCATTTACCTCCTTCTCTATATCCATACAAAATATCTTTCAAACAAATAAAATTAAAATTTTCTTTTGAAAAATGAAACCATTCCATCAGTATTTTCTTATGACGTTGTCACGTTCGACTATCGTCAGTAAACCGACTTTACAGACAACCGATTTTTTTTTATTTTGATTTAATACCTAGTTAATGTTTCTTTTGCTCTTAATTTGTTGTGGAATTCTACAATTAAGTTAATACATTGTGTATCAATACTAATTTTTATAAAGTTGAAGTAACCATTTTTTGTTTCCTATTCCTATTGGTTGGAATTTTTCTTACAAAAATATTTAACGAACCTTAGTTTAGGTAGAACCTGAGTACCCCCAAATTCTTGGTAATCGTGTAAGTATTTGAAAATTTGAACAGTCTTGCAATTTTTCAAACACTTAATTTTCCTTGTAAGTTCTTTCTGCTTTACTAATCAAAATTATATTGCAACGTTTGTTCTTTATTAAATTCATATACCTTATACTATCAAAGTCATTTTTGTAGATAGGTATATAGCATATTAAAAATAATGCTCTGAAGAACTTACCAAATTCCATTGCTATTACACTAACGTTGACGTTTACTTGTATCTTAATTACACTACACTTTGTAAGTATACATGTATAAAATGATACATTTAACAAAAATTATGATTTACTTGATCGATACGTTAATTTCTAGTATTAATCTTTGATTAATGGAATACTAGCAGTAATTGCTGATAGTGTGACAGCTCTTAAACGTCGAGTAAACAAAATGATGCCAACTGCGCAACTGTCTAAAGTTACTTCTGCGTAGTCATGTATAGTACAAGCCGCGAGAGGAGAAATCTTCTCCAGCCGATAAATCTTTATGTTCCTTAATATATTTTTGCACATTAGTCGTTGGGACTGTATTGATTATTAATTTTTTTTTTAATAAATTAAGTGTGAAGTTAATTACTAAAGAGGAAATTATTTTTAATAAAAATACCCTTTTCTAGGAAATTACAGAATTGGATCTATCGCAGACAACTAACAACTAAAATACGCAATTAAGCAATTATAAAGCGTGCTTTTGATTGTAAACCAGCGAAAAATAATTTATTTTCATTTTGAAGATTAACTGTTCAGTAAATTTGAGTATTTCACCGGTAAAACTAAAAGGGGAACGAATCAAGTAGGAGACTTTTAAAACTAGCCTTTTCCTGTAAAATTTGTTCACAAATAAATCAACAATTTTTTCTTTTGCAACCTTATGTTTTGTAGATCATTCATAAGTTACTACGGTAAAAGCGGCTAATTAATATTAGATAATTAAACAGTACACTGAAATTAAGGTTTTAATGAAGCGTATGCTTATTCAAATTTAAAAATCTGTTTGGGCTGTTTTATAAACTTACAAAACTGAAGAAAATTTTGGATAAGAAAAAAAAAGAACTTCATTCTGACTTTTGTAGTAAATGTCTTTTGTTGTGAAAACATTTTTGAGACATATGCACATATATATTATATAACGATGAAAACAAAAATAATGAAGAAATATATATACCTAACTAACTACTAAAAAGACAGTTATACCCTCGGTATACAAAAACTGAGCTAAAAATCTGGCTTTTTGAGAAGGAAAGAGAAAGCCTGACACGAAAAACAAGTGGCTGATTTTCGATATCTAGGAATTTGGATAAGTCAGGATGGGAGGTGCAGTAGAGATATAACACAGAGGGTAGCGCAGGGTAGAGTCACCTTCAACAAAAAGTAGTCATTTCTGTGCTCGTGAACGGTTAATTTAGAAATCCGGAAAAGATTGTTAAAGGTGTATGTCTGGAGCGCGGTGTTGTACGGGTGCGAAACATGGTGGGAGCGGCAGAAAAGAAAAGGTTATTGAAGAAGATACCGTGGATAGAGAAGGTTAGACATGAAAAGGTATTAGAAGGAATAGGAGAACGGAGGACTCTATGGAAGTCAATAAGAAATAGGCGAGATAGGTTGGTTAGACACCTTCTCAGGCATGAAGGACTTGTTAGAAGCAGAAACAGGAGTTAAGATGAGAAGACGTAGATCTAGATTAAATTGCTGTTCACAAATAGTTAAGGATGTGGGATGCTCTAGTTTTAGGGAAATTACATTAGCTCAGGATAGGAAAGACTGCAGGTGGGTGTCCAGCCAGTCTTAGGACTGACGACCTTACATTGATGATAATTTAATATAAATTCTCGAGCTGGTCTATTTTATATTTTAATTTCACAAATTCTATTGTAATGTTTATCATTATTAGTCCATTAATCACCGATAAAGGAATCAGACTTAGAAAATTTCTTTTTAATCGAAAGAAACTGATACTTGTTTTCCGATATCTTTAATAGTTTTTCAGAAAAATCGTTTCGATGTTGAGAGTCAGTGTTTTACTAAAACCAAATTAATGAACTTTTGTTAGTTTCTCCTAATTATTGCAGACAACATCGACGTTTCGAATTCATTACAAAAACTCGTCTTCAAATCAGATTGCAAATTAACAGTTCTTTGTTATTGTGAGTGGCTTCAGATGTATCAGTTACATAATTAAAATCACCAAAGAATTATCAGTGCATTCTACACCCTAAAACACATTGTACAATAAAGGGGGACACGTCGTTGTTGTTTGTGATAATAAAATAATTTTTTATCTCTTGCGTTTTATAACAATACTGTGAAGAAATGGGAATTGGCGCATGATTGAATTCTAAAGTTTAAATATTGGTCGTGAATGTATTATTTCACGGAATATTTCATCCTGTTGGCTTACTTTACTTTGAGGCAGAAGTAGAAACTTCCTCTACCGTGTAGCGCGCCCCGTCGTCAGTGACAAAAGAATACGCACAGTTGCAATCGTTGTACGAAAACTTTAAGAACTTAATATTAAATAGGGATTTCGTCAGAATTTTTATCAGAGATAAAGATCGTCTAAAGAATATATAAAATTGAAAAAATTTGGTTAAAATCTGACCAGTAGTTTTTGGGAGATATCGCGAACCCTAGTATCGTTGTTACTATTCTATTCATATAGGTCATTCGAAGTACATCCTACATCGTCCAGTAAATCAAGTGAATTAATAATATAAGCAGTAAAAGCGAACATAAAATGTAGTTATAAACCTTACCTTTGTGTGGATACAGCAGGTCCTGTCTACAGTCGAAAAATCCTACTTAGATTATTTCCCAGTCAACTGCTCTTCTAAAAACATTAATGTCTGCCTAATATATCTAATATATTTTTTTCGGTCAATATTGGAATTTCAAAATTTTGAGGTATAAGGCCAATCGGATTTCTGAAACGAAGGAAATAATTGTTCAATTGTTGTACCTAATAAAAAAAGTGCACCTCCCAATTCTAAATTCTAAATTTTGTGATCCAATTTCTCATAATCTGGTAATTGATAACTAAAAATAAACAATTAGAATACTAATTGTCCTTGGTACAAGATAAAATAAGTGATTTGCATCCTATTTGCAAGCTTTGACTGTCTAATTTTTAATTACCAATTGCTCGTTAATTACTCACCAGATTACAACAAATTACGTACCAATCTGGGTGCGAACTCGTCCCAATTAGAGAACAACGACGATCGCCGAGAGTAAATCATGCGCGCGCAACATCCGTTGCGTAGTAAAATTTTACTCTCAACGCGCCAAAAGAAGTATAAATTCAAAAATTTTTCGTAGAGAATTGGGCGGTGCACAGTTTAGTGTGTAGAATAAAATTAGTACAAGTTTCGCATTTTTTATAAAGTCTGTTGACATTTGATTTCCTTATTTTTTGAACACATTTTCTAATATGCCAATTTAGAGTTCGTGACGGTTACGACGCTATTGATGACAATAAAACAGTTACATATTTTAGGTTTCGATTGAAAAGCAATTTAACGGTAACTACGACAATAAATTTCGTCGTAAAGTCGTTATGGTCCGAAAATCGCAACTTCATTGCCCGTTTTTTTTCTCTTGCCGTCAACGCAAGAGACGGGGCGTTGAAGGAAGACCGAGCGCGAGACCATAAAAATAACTGAAGCACAAATCGCAAAAGTTTTTATTACTATAAAAATGGTACAACTCTTGGGAGGAAATGTGTTATATTTTCTCTTTTTTCGGGGAGCAGATCTACTACAAAACAAAGTTCAACATTGTTCTAAAAATAGGGGCTACGTCCTGCAGGAAGTTATCGATAGATAATAACTTAACACTAAACATGATTGTTTTATAATAATAACATATAATTTCTTTTTTTTTTTGCCTTCGTGTTATTATTTCATTAACATCTGCATAGCAGCAGTACTCAACATTGANTATTTTTAATTATTATTATTATTATTATATATTTATATGTATATATTCATATTTCCATATAAATTTACTCATTTATACACTGATATTTTTTTCTGTTTATATTTTACACTGTATGCAGTTTTTTTTTTTTATTCTCGATCTGGATGCCATCCGAGTCGATGCCAATAGTAACAACGATAACATATATAATATATTTATTATATAAAGGTTAAAGATGAGAAAACTTCAGGAAAATGATAACGTCAACTAACGAGTCTCTCTCTTCATTTTCTTCTTCATTTTTTTGCGTATTATTTTATTTTTTATCTTCCCCAAAGCACTCCTGCCAAGAACCATGTAGATGTCGTACTAAACCAGTTCGGCAAGTCACATATATTTTGTGTATTAGTTTTTTTTTTGTTTGTTTGTTTGTTTGTTGTACAAAAATAAGCTCGTTGAAATATTGTTTGGGTAGTTTTTGAATTTTTCTTTTTGATTGCGTTGTCCGGTCTTTAAGAAGTCTACATAATCAACGATTACCGGAGTAAATGAATTAGAAGTGGTGGAACGATGTAACACGTTGAAATCACAGAACCTGAAACAAAAAAAGGCGAAAGGTCATTGACAGTGAACGATAGATGTAATGCCTACAAAAAAAAAATAGACGAAAATAAAAAAATACCTGTTGAAAAAGAATTTTGTAAACGGTTTCGAAACTTCTAACTTCTCTCCGTTTATGGATCTATAGGGACGTAGAAATTCCAGATTCACCTAATAATTTTAAACATCTTGTCTATAGCATAAAGATGCAATTTTATTTGTTTTTCCAACTCGTTTCCTTTGGCATCTGCTCTATGAGAAACTTATCAAGTTTCTCCTCATATCTCCGATATCAATTTCTAGCTATCTTCATAAGTTTCTTGGTCAATTTTGCTACTACAACTATATAAAAAGTGAATTTTGATGTAAATTTGGAAATTAAGTTGTTATAAACCAAAAGTACTTACTAATCTTTACAGAATTTTAATACCTATTGGCATAGGTAAATATTATTAAAACACTGTTAATTTTGTTTAATGGACTCTTCGATTTCAAATCTTCACAAATTTCGTCGACACATACATTACACATATACCTAACTGGTTCAACAGTTTTGCCAATAAAGAAAGAAATTTTTTTAAAGTTGCGCTTTAGTAACCAATCAGGTGGTTAGAAGACGAAAAAATAGATCAATCCCAAAAGTTATCTGATGCTGTCTTGATTCGGGTCTTAAGGCTGTCGTGTGTTGGATTTGCTTCTTAACGCTTTGCTAGCATGAGCTAGCAAACATCCACATCCAGCATCGGAGANAATGCAGTAATGTTCAACAGATAATTTATTCTCTTCTGTCTTCATTTCGCCCGTCTTATCTTTCTCACCCGAACCACCACCCACCCATTCCCACGATTCCTGAAAGAAGGTTGAAAAGGGTTTTCCTCTGTAACTCCCGGCGTAGTCCGGAGGGACTGCCGTCTTGATTCGGGTCTTAAGGCTGTCGTGTGTTGGATTTGCTTCTTAACGCTTTGCTAGCATGAGCTAGCAAACATCCACATCCAGCATCGGAGATGGTAGGACTTCTGGAGAAGCTCTCCACTAGTGCTAGTGAAACATTAGGAAGTTACTCCAACCGATGATGGCCTTTAGAGTTTAGGCCCGAATCAGCACAGCATCAGTTTTCTCACTGAACGCGAAAGCTCCTACCAATTTTCCAAAAGTGTTCATTTAATTTAAATAAATCACTATCCTGTTGTAATATGTTACTAATGAACCACGATTATATATTATTATACGTATAAGTACTTGGCAGGCCAAAATCTACGCCATCAGGGTAGTAATTGTTTTCTATACAGTCTTTGTTAGTTCTGGTACGATTATATTGTGTTCGGGGCATGAGAACAGAATTTATATTATTTCATAAATAAGTAATGAATTTTTTGTATCTTTAACCCACTAAACATACAATTTAGTGATGAAAATAAATTTGCATTGATCTTGCAATCTTGGTTTTAGCAAATACAAGACGAAGGCCATGACCAAACGAAGAAGACCAAGACTAGAATCAAGACAAATAGGCAAGACTAAATGAAAAAGTATTACTTTCGGTGGATCTATGAGTTAAAGTATTTGAAATAATTTTTCTTGGAACAGAACATTTTTTTGTATTCAAAATTTTCGGTCTGCTTTTACCATACTTTAACACTAAAATAAGAAAAAAGAAACTTTACCGTTGTTTGAGAATTGTATAATATATGGTATAATATAAAGACAAATTGATTTATTTTCAATGTTTTTACTTCTTTCAAGTACGTTGAACTATTTTTTTCGCTGTCAAAAAGTAAGTTCTAAATGGAATTATGAGGTTTTAGTAGCAGATCCATAGACTTTGATTGACTTCGAACGGCTTCACGTACTTCTCTAAGAATTTAATTTTCTTTCGGAATTTTCGAACGTTCCACTTCAGTGTACATCCTACCAGAAAAATTGATCTCACACATGTTGTTTATTTTTATAAAAGACTATTACTGTTCCTATTCTGTTCCTGTCTGGCGTAAAGAACGGCCATCATTCTGTTTGCTAGCAACTAGGAAGAATTGATTAGCCGTCAACTATAAGCAGTCACGTCTTTTCAAAATCCCTCTTCGTTACGTTCTTTGTTTCGGCATCCACTTTGGATCGCCCCAAACCCAAACACCATCGGAGGCAAACGAAATAAATAAATCAGTCAAGTGGCCATTCCGGGTTTAGTACAATTTCGACTTGCAAAATTGATTAGGAAGTAAAGTATACGGGAAGCAGTAACCGAAAGGCATTAAAATTTTATTACGTTCCTAACGGCTGAATGTTTTAAGCAACGAGTGACGATAGTAGAATAATTGCTCTTCTGAGGTCCGGATACACTGTTTAAATCGCACCACTGATACGTGACATTACACATCAAACAGAAAATGTTGGAACATTGAAACAGTTAGAAATATAGTCGGAATTTCAACTTAAAACGGTCATCCACAGTTAGAATCTATATAAATAATTACAAAACTCATTGTTCACAATATTAAATAAACATAGTAGTGGTATTGAATGAAAATCCACCATTTTCGAGAAAAACGTAGTAGTATGTCAGGCAAGTCCAATTTCGGCCGTGGTAAAGTTTAGGACAACGCAACGTGGCATTCAATATCAACTGGTAATTAGTAGCATCAATGCTGTAATATATATTTTCGTATCTTTTTGCTTGCATGATTTGTTCTTCGATATTTTCGGGTTCATCTGAACAACTGCTTTTCCGTTTCAGAAGTCCCATGTTCGGTTTAGTAAAACAATATAATTTAGTGAAAAGAAAAGCATTTTAAGTCTTCTCCTTTCGTACATGAACAGGAAGGATTATGAAATGAAATTTCATTAAATCAGGTTCAATATTAAACGGGTCGACGCTTGGTGCAGAAAATTTCATGACGACAAAACCGCAATAAGCCGTGGGAGATTATCTCGCAGTGCCCGTTAAACTCGATGACAATTCAACTCATTCCGCAGGGGTTTTTAATGCAATAATGTTCGAACACGAAATTAAACCGTCACGTTCGACGACATCGGCGGGATTAGTGTGTCCGTTGCCACCCTATGTGCCGACGCCATCGTTGTCGTCGCCGATGCAACCATTTCGAAATCTGAACATGGTCCCGCTTTTAATACGCCACTTATTTGCCCGGTATTCTTGATACAGAATTTAATGGAAAACAGATTATCGTGAAAGCACTTCCCTGCCGAGAGAGTAAATCAATTCGGGTCTGGGCTAAAGGGAGAGTAGCTAGTGCCGACGCCGATCCCACCGATGGCTGCTCGATCCACCGTCAGACCGATCCTGCATACTGATGATGATCGACGACTACCTACCTCTACCGTTACGTTCGTTAGTTTGTTCGTTCGTACATGAACAGGATCGGATTCGATTAAATTCTAACAGCGCACT